TTATCAGGAAATGCTCCAGCATACAAATCTTTGGTTTCAATGGCTGCTGTGGCTTTGAACTGGTTGATGACTCACTCTATTCTCCTGATTTGACTATCATCTGTTCCCCAACATGAAAAACAATTAGCTGGGAACTAGTATCGTAGTGATGATGACGTCATATCCGCTATTGATGACTTGTTTTGAACAACAGGCTGAACAGTCTTCACTGAACAGTCAGATGTCAGTTTACCTGCTAAGAAACAATGCAGTTATTAATAAGACGAGTCGAAATTAATGCATGTAAGATGTCACAGCTCTAGCATAACTTCTTCATAGTCAGCCTATGAACTCGTCAGCCATCGTATATGATGACCAACCGGGAAAGATTCTTATAAGAAAATAAATGGAGGAACGTTACCAAAGACGATGGAATAAAAACATGATGGCCGATTTTTTTATCATAAGTTTTTAACATGAGTAACAGTTAAAATTTTGTGAGCTTTTCTGGCCACGAAGGAGAAAATAAAATCCAAAAAAGAATTTGGTTTCTCTGCGTTGCCTGTCGAAAAAGAAAATCAAAATCAAGATGGCGTCGACTTTAGTCAGGCGTCAGAATTTAGTAATTTTTGTAGGCCTCTCTACTAGTCTCGGCCAATCACAGTTTGTTTGATTTTTTATCTCAACAAAAGGCTACTTAAGCCGACAGCACATTCTTTTTCATTTTTTTCCGTGGGTGAAGAAGGTAGTTGTGCGTTGTAAGTTGTGGATACGGAGTTTTGACTCCTTTTGATTTACGCCCGGCATTTTTTACTTTGGCCTTGCGAGACTGATTTATGACCTTTGGAAATACGATTCCGATTTTTTTTATTGTTGGATCTGAACCTCCTAATTGCCATTTTCTCACAACTTATCTTCTGTTGTACCAAAGTTTGTTTCACAACAAAATGCTGTTATTTTCATCATGACGTGTTTTCTGGGATTGTAATCAGATTTAGGCGCTGTAATTTTCCAGGATCAAAACAGAATTATTCACCATTTGGCTGAAATCTAGATATAATAGGTAAAAAAAATGTACTTGAGTTTTGCATTCACAACCTCAAAAAACTTACAATATTTCATAAGGAAACTTTTTGTTTCTTTCTTTAGGTCTGCGCTATTAAATGTGTTTTAGCTTGCCTCTTTTTAGAAATCTTAGAATCTAGCCCATTTCAAGAATAGTAATGGTAATATTAGCAGTTTACCTATAAGGAAACATTTGGCATTCATTGACGGGACAGCCAGGACTGCTTTTCAGTTGAAGTTTATAAAATCTTTCTCTTTTTTAAGAAAACAGATTTCTCAAGTCCAGTAGCTTTTATGGCTCTTTCCAGTATTGATGAGGGTTTTTCCTTCCTAACCTTTTGTTTGAAGTGGTGTGGAATCTTAACGTCTTGATTATGTTATTATTTTCTAATCGAGTTACTACATATTTTAGTTGTTGCAGCTGTTGGTAGTCCTCAAGTGATGTGGTTTCTGTTATTTGGTACAGTTCTTTGTTTCTGTAGCGCCAGTCCACAATGTTCAAAGAAGAATGATCTTTGTCAAGATCCACAAGCTTTACTCACTCAAAACCTTTTTTCATCATTGATCTTAGAATACGCTTGGGTTCAGCTGACCGTTTAAATATTTCAGAGATGGTTTGGCGCTATGCATTCATGACATCCATATATGAAAGTCTCGATCTGACGAACCTATTTAAGAACATGACTCGAGTTTTCAGATTGATGTTTTCGTTTCGTGACATCTTGCGGTATTAGGTGAAACTACTACTGGCGCATTCTAGTCTATGTTCAATTTCCTGTACTACATTTGTTATAACTGATCTATACGCTGAGATACTTGAAGTGTTTAGTATTTACTATTTCTACATCCTGAATTGTTATGATGGGTTCAGGGTAGGTGGGATCGCTGCTTTCATTCCAATTTCAAATCATAGTTTAGGTTTTGGAAAGTTTTATCTTGAGTCTACTGTAAGTCAACAAATAATATTTTTTATGTTGTGGATTCCGGGTTGAAATCCGGTACCAATAAATAACAAACGCCAGGAATGAATATATGAAAATAATGTCTTAACGTAATAATACAAACTGGTAAAGCAGACTAGTAGTTCCAGGAATACGGGTTAGTAGCAAAATATATATACAGTCCTTGGTGTCTGTCTATATTTCTGAGATGAGGTATTATGTACAGTATTTACATTAGTCGGACTATTGTCCTCATCTTTGTCGCCATATTTGTCACAACGTTTCGGCCGTTGTACGCTCCGGCCTTCTTCAGGTGGTTGGAATTTCGAACTAAACACTTTATTTCGATCACTTAAGGCAGTGGAGAACTTTCAGAAGGAAAATTAGCAGGAGATAACTGATAACTGACATCCATCAAACATGGCACGTGGAACTAGAACAGTCTACCCCAGTGAGCGAAATAAAGGGTTCAGTTCGAAATTCCAACCACCTGAAGAAGGCCGGAGCATACAACGGCCGAAACGTTGTGACAAATATGGCGACAAAGATGAGGACAATAGTCCGACTAATGTAAATACTGTACAGTCTTTGGTATTGAAGTATCGCTGTATGACTTCTTACTGAGTCTACGTGCTCGCTCACTGTGACTCCTACAACGCTTTTACCTCACCCTCACTCTTCCGGTTACCTACAACCTTTTACTCTGTCACTCTCAACTCGACTCCTCGGGTAGTCACTGGCAGTTGTATAAGTATATACTGGGTGAGTCCATTTGTATGAAAAAAAGGGGTGGACCCATCAACATTTTATAAATAACAATTTAATAAATTTTTGCTCACAACAATAAAATCTAGAACAATTATTGTTATTTATTTAATCTAAAATAATCATTGTTATTTATTTAAAGTCTCTTAGAATTCGCAGCCATGAATATCGACCTGATGAAAAAATACATTGAAAATACTATATATAGTATTTTCAATGTATTTTTATATATATGATAAAAATATAGTTTTATTGTAAGCTTTATTTATGGGTACAAGTGCTCGATATCACGGATAGATTGTATGTAAATATAAAAGTCAACAGTGAGGTTAACAATGAGTTTTGTTACTTAGCTGATTGATGTTATATATAGCACCCGGACTCCAGATTTTCGTAGATTAAGTATTCTGAAATCGTTCCGTCCACTTGTCAAGAGGTATCAGGAATTATCTGCGGATTTTTTCATTTTTTATCACTTTTATATTAAGTTGAAAAAAAATTATGTGCTTTCTGTTGGTGTTAGATTGATTTTTTTTCTTTCTGAATGTGTGCGTTAGTGTGTGTATGTGTGTACGCGCAGACATGTGTATGTGCACGCCTAACGTGTGTATGTATGCACATGTGTAGAATTTCGTGGTTATTTTCCACTTTTCTTGGTTTTCTTGTCCCCCTATACTTTCTCACTACTCTTTTTCTTCTTTTTTGTCTCTTTCGACTCCGAAATAATACATATATATATATATATATATATATATATATATATATATAGTTGTATATTTAGGCAGCAATCCTTCCTTTATGCATGTTTCATTAAAAACGACAAACAAGGTACTACGGTTAAGCTTTTTATTTATTTTTTCTTGTGTCCGAACAAGAGCTTTCTTTTCTGGTCAAAGGCTGTGTAAGAACTGTCCAAATGTTTTATATTTCCGAGCGCTTTCGCCTATACCTTTAGCCATTATCAAGGATGGAACAAAAGAAAAAATAAATAAAAAGCTTAATCTTAGTACCTTGTCTGTTGTTTTTAATGAAACATGCATATTTATTTATTTTTTTTTTTTTAAGCATTGTGCCCCAAGCAAGGCGTGAAGCCACTAGGATGCAGGGGGTTGCGGAAGATTTGGAGCGAGAGCAGATAAGAGTGATAGGAGAAAGGAAGAGGAAAAGGATAGTGGGTAGATCAAGGTAATTGGAGATGTCGATTGACATTACATTTGAATAGTTGGAGATTATAGCTTTCAGGGAAACAGCAATTGGGGAGGGTGTTCCACTGGCGAGAGGTGCGAGGTATGAAGCTATTGGAGTAGAAGAGACGGCTACCTTTGAAGGTTTCTACGGTGTAAGGGTGAGAGCGGGATGCCAGCCTCGTAGGGCGCTTGAATTCATGGAGTCTGGGAACCAGAGAGAGCAGCTCATCAGAGCAGTTACCATGGAAGTATTTGTAGAAAAGACAGAGAGAGGCGACGGCGCGTCTGTGAGAGAGTGACTGCAGATAAGACGCTAGATCAGGGCCAATTAGATTACATATCCGTCTCTGGATCTTGTCAAGAACTCCGAGGTAGGCAGAAGGTGCTCCAGCCCATATATGGCAGCAATACTCCATGCAAGGGCGAATGGTTGTTTTGTGTATATATATATATATATATATATATATATATATATATATATATATATATATATATATATATATATATATATATTGTCGTTGTTATTATTAGAGACTCACGTTGAAACTCTGGTTCTCATACGCTCAACCGTATTAAGCAACGTCGAGCCTGGTTAATACCTAGATGGGTGACTGCTTGGGAATACCAGGTGTTGGCGTCCACCTGGATCGACGGATAGTGTAAAGGATAAGAATTGGAAATCGGGTTCGTTATATTTACTTACAAATAAATATGTTGGGAAAGGCATGAAACCACATATTCTCCCCCCACCAAATATGGATTAATTAATAGGATTTGTATCAGTAAAACATTATTATCTTCCACAAATTCTTTCAATCTAAAAATATTTTCTAACTTTAACCTGGATACAGTTGATAGGCTGTAAAAACAATCATGTTATTAGAAATCGTTTTTATTATTGTAAAAATAATAAGTAAAGTTTTTTTATATAAAAGATTTTACCTACAAATATTAAATTATTTTTTTTTTTAAATAAACTACAAAAATATTGGTATCTTTTAAGAAAAATTGATTTAAAAAATAACCGGTAGACGATTTAAATGTAAAAATAAAGTCTATCTTCTTACAGTTTGATAAAGAAGAAGAAGAAGAAGAAGAAGAAGAAGAAGAAGAAGAAGAAGAAGAAGAAGAAGAAGAAGAAAAGCGAGAATAATAAACTGGAGGAAGAGAAGACGACGACAAGGAAAAAATATAAAAAGAAGAGAAAGTAGAAAATGAAAAAAATGAAGGAAAAGAAGCAGAAAAGGAAGAAAAATAAATAAAGATGATGATACTGGCGAAGAGGAGGATGAGAGAAAGATAACGTAGAAGAAGAAGAAGAAGAAGAAGAAGAAGAAGAGCGAGAAGAATATGGTGAAGGTGGAAGAGGAGGAGAAGATACTGATGATGACGATGAAGAGGAGAAGGGGAGAAAGATTACAAAAAAAACGAGAACAAATAATATGAACCAGAATAAGAATAGAACATGCCTAAAGAGAAAAAGATGTAGTAAGAGGCTACAAGAAAGAAAGAAAGAAAAAAGAAAGAAAGAAAGAAAGAAAGAAAGAAAGAAAAGAATTGGAGGAAGAAAGAAATGAACAGACACTGATCGCCTCTTCTTTCAATGTACACCCGAAAAAGGAAATCAAGTTTGTTTTGATTTGATGTTGGCGCCGCCTCTTTACCGGATGATGAATGAGTATATATTAGGTAGCGACATAGACTTTCTAAAAAAAAAATCACGAAAAACACATTTTAAATATTTTAAATACCTTCTTTGTACTTAAGTTTCTGTTCTATTTGAAAGATAATCGTCTAAAAAGCTAACCCATATGAAAAGAAAAATTAATTTCCGTGTATAAATAAACTTTTTTAAAGCATTTTTAAAACATTGATACATTTTTTCGCCACTCATCGCCGCTATTGTGTAGGGAAAAGGTCAACAACAAATTTAAAATTCTCTTTAAAATCCAATATTAAACTTAGTATAATGAATATTTTTTTTTATACTGACTGAACGGGAGATATGAAATTAAATTAATATTATAATACTCCTCTGATATTGAATAACAGTCAGTCAACGTGAGATATCAGAATTATTTCCTTTACATCCATACCAAAAATAATCTAACAGTTACTAAAAGGAAAAAATAAGATAAAATTCTGTTTAAAAAAAGGTTCACACTCGAAAATGACAAAATTTTTTAACTCTTCAAACATGTCGTTATTTAATAAAATAAATTCTTGATATAATCTTGTGATGAACCGCAACGAGATTAATTTTAAAATTGCACTGAAAAATTAAAAATAATTTTTTAAAATAAATATTATGGTTAGATTTTTTTCTAGCGAATTTAAAAGAAAATAATGTGTTAAATCATGCAAGTACCAATTCTCAAAACATATTTTTTTTTTTTTTTATTGAATTGTTTTTGGAAAGATGCGGCCGAATTTTCCGTCTGCTCACACTCGATATTGTATGTTTTTAATGAAATATCTTCAGAAATTCCTTTTGGTATAACTGTAAAAAGTTTGAACGAAACCCGCCTCCACCAATTAAAACGTACACACTCGATATCGAAAAGGAGACGTGTAAAAAATTATATCCGCAAAGCGTTTTTTATAAAATAACCTATTTAGTAATATTAACTAATGAATATGTCCTAAAAATGACGTTTGGCTCTGGTAATTCCATGATTTTAGGCAAATACTAGACCACCTGTGACCCGTTGGGTCAACCGTGTTGTATTTACTGTTTACGTTCATGAAGTTTGTGAAAGTAGATACCTTAAAGATACATTTATTTGCAGTTATTGAAGTTGCTTTCAACATTAAAAAACATGTCTGTTTGAAGAAAGTTAAACAATAAGAGGTTGGAATGTCAAAATTCGGAGTGTTGGGATTCGATAAAATAACATAAAATATCGTTGCGGGGCTGCGCGTAATTCGGCCGTTTAGAATAATCAAACGATTTTCATTGAAAAAATAAAATTCAATAGAAAAGACAACGTAGTTTCAACAAATGAACATTAATTTAATATAACGACAAGAATACAAGCAATTGGTCAAAAATTGGAAAGTAATGTCATTTTGTTTGTGTTAATAAAATTTTGAAATAAAATATAAATTCTCTTTGTGTACGTATGTGAGAAACAATGAAATCTTGTTATATGTGTGTTTGTGTGAAAAAGTCAACACGTGTGTGCGTGGTTCATAGTAAAGAGAATACAAGAGAAATTGTTTCTTATTGTTCGGGGGGGGGTTGCCGTAGTCTAAAGCGGTCTCTTTCGCGTTTGTCAGCGCTGACGCTTTTAGCATGTGGTCGTGAAATTCACAAGCGAGAGTGGCGCGGACCTTGATGACAGCTGTGCGTATCCTGTTTGGGTCCAGATTTCGTGTTTTATACACGTTTTCGTAAGAAAATCGGCTCCATCCCCCACTTCTCATGATAATAAATTTACTTCTTTCTTTTTCCCCACTTTCTATATATGACTTATCGGCAACACACAAGATACAAAGTTCACAGAGTTTTATATAGTAATAAGATTTTTAAACGGGTGGATCGAATTTTTGCTGTGATTGCA